TATAAATACAAACAGAAAAAATATAAACTATTCTTACCCAAAGAGCCATTCATGTTATATGAATGATTCTGTGACTCATCTATTGCTGGCATTATCCCGGCCTCTGCCTCTGCAAGCTGCCCACTGAAATGCATGGCTTGAAGACAAGGTATGACAGTCATAGAGCGAAGCACATCGTCTGGACTATCCGGACGAGCAGGAATCACCACATGCTCTAGGAGTCTTGGATGCTGCTTGATGAACCATCTACGGAAGTTAGAACAAGACAAAGTTGATTCAATTATGATAAGTAGCAACTTTTCGGGTGTGAGTCACCAATGCTTACTCAACCTTTGAACTTTTTCTTCTTCTTCATCTTTTTTCTTTTGTTCTCTTGAAATAAACTTACTATATCAATGATGTCTCTAGTATGAACATCTCAGTCTTCTGTAATTCACTCAGCGATCCATAAAGTTTGACTTGCACCGATGTTTCTTTGAACAGAAATGCTACAGAAAAGTTTTTAAACTACTGTGAACCAAGATGAAGAAAACTTTTGACATTCTCCATGACCTCAACAATGAGGAAAATTGGCTCATAAACAGCATACCTGTAATTCTTCTTCTGCACGTTCACCAGCTGTAAACTCTGACAGAAAGTTCTGGTTGTTCATCCACTTCTGGACTTCAGTCCTGTTCCAGAACCTGAGTGTTGCATTTTACAAATCTGACTCATTTGTATGCAGATTGCTGGTTCCTTGCCTCTTAGGCAAATGCACTCCAACTTTGAAGGAAGCTCCAAATTAGTCAACTCTTACGACATGCTTTTGGGTAGGCAGTGGGTCTTATCTTGCTTTCTCTATAACAGGGCCCAGGAACCCACACAGAATTGCATTCCTGTAGTGAAAGCTGAAGTATTTTGGCCATGTTAAATGACATGGTGGTCTAGAAAGAATTGTGATTGGGGGAGGGGCAGTTTCTGACAAAATGAGGCAAAGGCCGACCTCCTTGAAGGTGGATAATATAGCGTAATCCTTGACCCAGTAGGGTCATGGAGGTGTGTCGATGGAAGCACTAACACACAAAACCCACCATCTTTCTCTGTACAAGTGTATGATAATTTAGTCCTGTCCATTTCTTGATGTTGTAATTCCAGATTCTTCTATGCCCTACTCTTCTTTGACTACCCCCACTGTTCCTTGAAGTAAACTCTTTGCAATTGAATCATGTCTCACCACATTTCCAAACTAACGGAGTCGCCTTGGCGTAGCGGCTAAACGCTCGTGTGCAGGTTCGAAGGTCGTAGGTTTGCTCCCTGGCGGGGCCGGACTTTTTCAAAAACGATCTTGACTCCCAGCCTTGAGTGGGTATGGGGTGCAGTCCCGGAAAGTAAAGGCGGCTGGCGTGATGCTGACCACATCACCCATCTTGGTCTATAAAAAGTACAGGTCTAGCCCTATACGCCTAAAGGTGTGGAAAAGGGACCTTTACTTTACTTATATGACCAAACCAAGCTAGCTTGCAAAGTTTTACTACTGCCAAGAGAGGCTTCTGATGTCCTGCAAATGTATTTATTTTGTCTCTGACATGTGAGAGGCAAGGTTTTTAAAGGTTTTACTTTCTAGTATAACGGTGGATACAGGGCATCAAAGATGCACTGCCTATGACTGCATACAGGGCTGGAGAATTAGACTTTCAAGCATGCTATGAAGGGAGCGACAATCAGTAAAGGAACTACTGATTGACTGATTTTCTATTTCACAATCATAATCTTAAAAACAATCAACACCAAGGAACCAATGAGCTGAATGTTGAATTGAAAATCAATATTACTGCACTCGGGACACTCTCATAAGTGCTCAGTCCCCATCTTTAGCAGCAAGCGAAGAATTCCCATTCCGATGGTAACAGTAACTGTCTGATTGTATATCTATCTCATCCTTCCCCTGAGTGTCAAGTGTCAGCCAGATCCCCTGGTAACTCCTCCCAGCGCCATTCTTCTTAGACCGTAATTATCTAACTGCGCCTCCTCACTGTTTACTCACTCCCAAAGGGCTCTCATAATACCTAACTTATCATACATCAATTCACCACCAAGTGGTGAAGAGCCAGCCAGTCTATCTGAGTGCTCATTTCCCAACACATCGGTATGACCTGGAGAAAATATCCAAAGGATGCTAAATAGCCGGGACCTCTGAAGTGATGCTTGCCACTCTGCACGAATGCACCAATGAGCTTTAGTCACTGAAAAGCAACAGACAGATGGTGCTACAGCTATAGGTAGTTTTTAAAAAAGTCATGGTCCCTTCACATGTCAGTAGCACGTCAGGCATCTGAGGCTAGACTCATATTTTGATAGATGTGTGATGTGATCAACATCACACCAGCTGCCTTTACTTCCCAAGACTTCACCTGGTAGCCATTTAAGACTAAGTCAACCTGAGAGCCAAGGTCATGTATAAAAAACACTGGCTCCATGCGGAATTGAACCCAGGACCTTCTGACCTACAGGCTAGCATCTACTCGCTACACCATGGCGGCTCCCATAACTATAGGTGTCCAAGATGAAACAATCAATGCTTAAATCAAAAGTTAGAGGATCAATTTCCAACTCCATGCTTAAAGTCATAAAGCTCTGGCTTCCTCCACATGGCAGCTCGTTACCTTCCAAGAGTGCTAGACAAAGTAAAAACTCCTTAGCTCCAGTGATTTGCACCAGACTTGAGGTCATAAAGCTTCACCTTTCTCCATAAAGCAGTTGGTTGCCTACCAAGATTGCTACATAAAGTACAAACTCTTAAGCGCCAGTGACATTCTGAGGCAGTACTGAAACACCTGCTCTTGTGAACCTAACTAAGCAAAGGGTCTGACACAGAGCCAAGAATCTTCAGAGTGTGCAGCAAATGGTTTAACTCTTTAAGGCCCAAGCAACAGTGTGAGCTTGTTTAACAAGTTTCGTTTTGCCCAAACAACACTGTCATCGTCGATCATGTGTCCCCTACATTTTGCTTCGCACACTCCTCCGTACTAGTTTCTTATGTTCGGAGGTACGATTAAACTATTCAGGGAAAGTCACTCCGCTGAAATCCTTTTAGTTTCATTTCCTAGCCTAAGAAACACGTGCATAATTTGATAGAAATAACAGTGAAATTTTTTTTAACATTGCATTTTCTAAGTTCGTTTTTGAGTGCCATGAATACCGATGTTTCAACCACAAGTACAGGTCGCAGAATGCGTATTTCTGCGGCCGAAGCTCTGAAATTATTTCAGTCAGATGATTTTAATTGTGATAATAATAATAAAAGTTTAGATTTTTCGGAAAGTGTTTCCACAAGCAAAGATGAGCAATCAGCTGTTCAGAATGTAGCGATTCTGGTAAGTTTATTACACAGACAATGTCCCATACTACCGTATTTCTGGTGTAAGAGAAGGAAAGTGCTCTAAACAAAGAGACAGTACTATAATATGGCTAAGCTACATTGAAATCATCACAGCTACAGTCTGTAAATAACTGTACAAAGTGAATAGTAAATAGTGTGTGTGTAATGGCTCATTTTTCTGCAATTTTTTCTCTGAAATTTGGCTTTGCACTCGGTGGGAACTAAGAGCCCCTGAGTGCTAAACTAACCCAGAAAGTTATCATAACTTTAGAATATGTTAGGAAATTGAACAAACTTTGAAGTTTTGTTCTCAAATTTGGATATTTGCTACTCTTGTGGCTGCAAAACCATGGTAAGTGAAGAAATTGTTTGTGAAATATTGTCCTTGTGAAATTTACACCTGCTGAATTCTTGTTTCCTACTCACTATATTAAAATTAAACAAACGCTTATCATCAGATTCAATATGTACACTCATTTCTCTTTAAAAAATATTTATGCTTTGATAGGGATTAGAAGTATATTACATTCTCTACAGCCTTTCTTGTACACCCACCCCTCTGCCATTTTTGTAAAGGGAAATTAATGCGGGCCAAGTCTGTCAAAATTCATGGGCCTGAAAGAGTTAACTCATTCAGTCGCAAGAAATTCACCATGCGTTTGTTCAGCTCTCTTACATTATATACTACTTGTAACCTTCTGTCTCCCATCCAGTAATTATACTAACCTACTCTGTTTCACTTGTTGCTTTTTATAATTATTTCTCATGGAGTTAATACTGTATCTGCTTCAGACTCAAACATGTAACATGTATTATTTTAAAGGGAAAGGTGAGACGGATATACAATCAGACAAGTGTCCCGAGTGCTATGATGTTGATTCTTAATTCAACACTCAACATTAGTTTAGAATTTTTTTTTTAAGGATATAATGTGATTAAATAGGATCCAGCCTGGGACTCAGGATCAAGAGTTGATCACTTCACCATGCAGAACCCTAGAAAAGGTTTTAAAGGTGAAAGAAATGACTTATTTTCATCAGGTTTTAACCCCATATGGCTTAATCTCTCTTGGCAGTGTGGCTGATAGCCTATTAATATTATCACACAAGGCACAAACTTCAAAGCTTCTGTGATGACCCTCAGGAATTCCAAAGAAACTGCTCTCATGAGAGAACAAAAGGACAGTCTAAAATATGTATGTAAATTTCAAAGCTTTCAACTTTATCTTTTTGGGGGGGGTTTCTTTTTCAGTTGTATTTCACAGCTATATTGCAGTTCGATTTAATGAGAATGAATCCAATGATGTCAGAATTGAGAGCATACACCATAAAAGAAGAAACACTCAGAGGTAGGGCTGACTAAGAAGAACATGGATTGAAGGAGTCACTGATACCTTTAGACTTTACAACACCACAGCATACCGGGCAACCAAGCTTGTCCTAGCCCAGTTACCGATCATCTGTTAACCTGCGAGGCTTAGCAGCCAAAAGAAGACTATGGACAGAAGAAAGAACTGCAGTTCAATGTTACTAGCCCTGAGCTATGGTTTAAAAATTCAGCAGAGGTAAACACTCACAACACAGCACAAACATCAATATTTGGATTATATTTCAACACATCCAAAAACATAAAAAGCACTTACGGATGCTGCCTTATCTGCTGTAGTGTGTACCTCACCTCCGCTTCATAAGCTAGCATACCTGCAGAAGTTACAAGAAAGAATTGTTAAAGACAGAAGGCATGGAAAAAACATTACTCCTGGAAATAAATTACTTCTTGTCTCTTATTAATCTGGTAGCTTGATTTCTAGCTTTATATAAACATTCTGGTTTCATTCCTAACTTTTCTAAATTTCTTGGTTTCATTTTTTTTTTTACGTATCCAGAAACCATGAGTTGTAAACCCTTTGGCTCGGTACTATGGATATCGCAACCCTTCGGCATTGATTCCATTATAGGTACCGTTAATCTGGGAGAAATGTGGCTTTTCTGCCTATCCCCCGGGAGTGAACCCGGACCACAAGGAGTTCGTCACCCGGCCGCCGCGAAAATCAGGTTTAACCAACTTCGCTAGAGAGCCGGGCATTGGTTTCATATCTAGCGGCTTCTTCTTCACTGGTCTTCTCAGTCATGAAACTGCACTGTGACTGAGACCCACAGAGAGTAGTCTGGAGATTCTAGCCTTTGATAACCAACATGAAATGGACATCTTGCCTCTCCAGCATCTTAGACTTTTCTCAAAGCCATCGGCACTTTTTATGTTGATGCCTTTGGGCACTTAGTGAGGCAGAGAAGGAAGAGCATGCATTAGGTATGGCTTCCCTTTACGGTCATGGCACTCCAATGAGTGTAGCCAATAGTAGTTGTGTCATTAAGTAGGATCTTTGCCCCATAGACATCTGAATCTTGACTGTCATCAAGTAGGATCTTTGCCCCATGGACATCTGAATTTTGGCTATCATTTAGTAGGATCTTTGCCCCATAGACATCTGAATCTTTGCTGTCATCCAGTAGGATCTTTGCAACATAGACAACTGAATCTTGGCTGTCATCTAGTAGGATCTTTCCCCCATAGACATCTGAATCTTTGCTGTCATCCAGTAGGATCTTTTCCCCATAGACAACTGAATCTTGACTGTCATCAAGTAGGATCTTTGCCCCATGGACATCTGAATTTTGGCTTTCATTTAGTAGGATCTTTGCCCCATAGACATCTGAATCTTGACTGTCATCCAGTAGGATCTTTTCCCCACAGACATCTGAACCTTGGCTGTTATCTAGTAGGATCTTTCCCCGATAGACATCTGAATCTTGACTGTCATCCAGTAGGATCTTTTCCCCACAGACATCTGAATCTTGGCTGTCATCTAGTAGGATCTTTCCCCGATAGACATCTGAATCTTGACTGTCATCCAGTAGGATCTTTCCCCAATAGACATCTGAATCTTGGCTGTCATCTAGTAGGATCTTTCCCCGATAGACATCTGAATCTTGACTGTCATCCAGTAGGATCTTTCCCCAATAGACATCTGAATCTTGGCTGTCATCTAGTAGGACACATGAGGAATGGACATCTGAACCTAAGTTGCCAAGCATTTGGATTCTCGATCGACAGATGTTCAAACCAATGTCTTGTCTTTTAGTAGGAAACTCTGCCAGTGGACTTTACTCATTCTCCAAATGAGTTGTCAACGTTATCCCTCATGCATTGGGGTGGGATGACAATTGCCAGAGGTTTTACTGCACCTCCAGTGGCCACCAGCTTCAAGATACCATGGCTGTTCGGTTTAAACTGATTCTGGCCATTATCCATGGTGCATGAAGTGGACGTGTGGCAGGAATCAGGCAAGTAGCTCCATAAAACCAGCACAGAGACTGGTGATGTACACCCTTATACATAGCACAACAGCCTTAACTTTCTCTCATGCATGTGGCTGAAATTGCAGAACCATTTCTAGCATCTAATAAGCCTCTTGCTTTTATTTCTAGCTTCTTTCCCATGTGGATTCCATGGCCTAATTTTAGGAGGGAAAAGAAGAGACTCACTGTTCCCAACAAGCATTTTGTAAAAGGGGACCAGGCGCTTTCTTAAATTCACTGGAATTACTTTGCGCACATTTTAGCTAGGTCGACCCGGAAGACTATTTTTGGAATAATATGTTGACTAAATGTGGATTTTAACCTAAAACCATTTGACCCAGCAGGCAAGAATTTAGCCACTACCCTGCCATGGCTTCAGACATATACAGATATTTTTCTTACAGATCAATCAGCCCTTAATGAGTGATGTGGTCAACTTCATGCTGACTGCCTTTGCTTTCCAGGACATTTCAGCCCAGGCTGACCTATAAGCCTTTGGCCGATTATCAAAATCCACCTTGATACAGATTTGAACCTAAGACTTTCGGACTGGCAAACAATTGTCTAGCTATTGTGATATCACATCTCCCATCTGCAACAATTCCCATTTGCATGAACAATTTACATCAGTTCATATTTGCATGAGTAATGTACAGCAGTCCCATTTATATCAGTTATTTACAATAGTTCCTATTTATATCAGTTATCTACAATAGCCCCCTTTAATATGAGTAATTTACAACAGCTCCCATTTACATAAGTAATTTACAATTGCTCAATTTTACACAAGCAATTTACACTAGCTGCTCCCATTTACACGAGCATTTTTACAAAAGCTCCTATTTACATGAGTAATTTGCAATAGCTTCCATTTAGCAAGTGACTTACAATAACTCCAATTTACATAAGTGATTTACAATAACTCATTTACATGAGTAACTGACAATAGCTGCCATTTCCATGAGTAATTTACAATAACTCCTGCTTAACAAGTAATTTACAATAGCTCCTATTTACATAAGTAATTTACCACAAATCCCGTTTAAATGAGTAACTGACAGTCAAATCTGAAAACAAACAAGTTACCTTTCAGTAAATCCCCAAGAAGATCTGACACTCCATCAGGTATTGTATACACTCCTTTACCTATGTTCTCAAATAATTTGAAAATGTTGTCGCCTTCAAACGGATACTTTCCCGTTGTTATATTGTACCTGGAATAGGCATTTGGAGCATTACACATACAAAGTCCTTTCAAGTGCTCATAAACATGTAATTAACTTGTTCAGTCCTTGATACCTTGGGTAAAGAAAACACAAATGCATGCATACTTCAAGAACTGAATACTAAAAAAGGTTGGCTATTAAAGACGATAAAATACAGAAAACTGAAATACTTTGGTCACTTAAAAGTTTACAGAGATCAATAATGGAGGGGAAGGTGGGTGCAGGATCTGGCGGATGATCTTCAGATGGGTGTAACGGACGCAGGACATCTTGCTTTTGATAGAGAAGTTTTCTGGAGGGTTGTTATGGAAGCAAGGTTCTGCAAAGGACTCACTGCTGACTGATTGAGTCCGTGATAATGAATGTTGAGTTGTTACTTCAACTATTTCAATCCCTGGCAGTTGTTTAATTTACTGAACTAGAGCCGATTATAACTTTAACTCATACTATTCAAAGTTGCCCAATAGCCATCATGGTGTAGGGGCTAGACGCATGCCTGCAAATTTTAAGGTGGAAGGTTAAGATCCTGATGGAGCCTGACTTTTTTTTTTTAATGGCTTTGGTTTCCACGTGGACTCAGCCCTTTAGGGATTTCAGGTAAAGTCCTGGCAAGAAAAGGTGGCGGGATGTTGACAATATTACCCTCCAAGTGCCGACTAGTCTGTAAAATAAGTCTAGCCCTATATGCCCAATACGCCTGAAGATGTGCAAAAAGGGTCATTTTTTAAATTTAAAATTATTACTTTAATTTACTGTATTTCTACTCTATTTGAAGCAGATGTTTCTTTAATTTTTCTGTTTCAGGGGGTTTATTACTTTCATTTACTGTATGTGAGGTAGGTGTTAATTTAGCACATTCAATTTCAGACATTTGTTACTTTAATTTACTACCTCTGAAAGAGCTGTACTTTAATTCACTTTTCTTCTTCTTCTTTGCGTTCACCGGCTGTAAACTCCAGGGGAAAGTTCTAGTTGTTCGTCCACTTCTGGACTTAAGACTTGTTCCAGAACCTCAATGGACAGCCATTTTACAGATCTGCCAAATTTTTATGCAGACCGTTGGTTCCTTGCTTGTCAGGCAGATGCACTCTTAACTTCAAAGGAAACTCTAATTAGTTTACTATTAAACCCCCACCCCCACTGGGGTCTTGGAACCCTCATAGGGGACTTTAACTCACTCAATTGCGTGTATCTGTTGCTTTAATCTACTACATTTAAAGCAACTGTTACTATAACTCGCTTCATTTAATTACTTCAATTCACTCCCTTCCAGTAATCTACTGCAACTGAAGCAGATATTACTTTTATCTAATGTATTTCAAGCAATAGTTTTTTTCACTCAGTTCATTCCAAGAAATGTTACTTCGGTTCGCTGCAAGGCGGTTGTTACTTAAATTTACCACATCTGAAGCGACTGCTATTTTAACTCCATTAAAAGTACCTGTTATTTTAATTAATTTAATTACATTTATTTATATACACTGTTACCAACAGTGTTATATTCAATGACATACAGTGTTACATTTAGTGACATACAGTGTTACATTCAGGTATATACAGTGTTACATTCAGTTATATATATATTGTTACACTGAGTTATATACAGTGTTACATTCAGTTATACATAATGCTGCATTTGGTTATTTAGTGTTAAATTTAATTATATACAGTGTTACATTCAGTGACATATTGTGTTACATTTGGTTAATTACAGTACTACACTTAATTATATACAATGTTACATTCAGTTATATATAGGGCTGCATTCAGTTATATACAGTGTAATATTTGGTTACACACCCTATTACACTGTTACATACAGTGTTACATTCAATTATATACAGTGTTACATTCAGTGACACATGGTGAATGATTTGGTTATTTTCAGTGCTACATTTAGTTATATACAGCGTTACATTCAGTGACATATTGTGAAAAATGCAATTACTTACAGTGTTACATTCAGTGACATATTGTGAAACATTCAATTATATACAGTGTTACATTCAGTGACATATTGTGAAACATTCGGTTGTATAGTTATATATAGTGTTACATTCAGTTATATAGTGCTACATTTAGTTATATACAGTGCTACATTCAGTGACATACAGTGTGACATTCAGTGACATACATTCGGTGTTACATTCAGTGACATATTGTGAAAGATTTGGTTATATCCAGTGCTACATTTAGTTATATACAGCGTTACATTCAGTGACATACTGTGAAAAATACAATTATATACAGTGTTACATTCAGTGACATACTGTGAAACATTCGGTTGTACAGTTATATACAGTGTTACATTCAGTTATATACAGTGCTACATTTAGTTATATACAGTGCTACATTCGGTGTTACATTCAGTGACATATTGTGAAAGATTTGGTTATATCCAGTGCTACATTTAGTTATATACAGCGTTACATTCAGTGACATATTGTGAACCATTCTGTTGTACAGTTATATACAGTGTTACATTCAGTTATATACAGTGCTACATTTAGTTATATACAGTGCTACATTCGGTGTTACATTCAGTGCCATACAGTGTTACATTCAGTGACATACAGTGTTACATTCAGTGACACACAATGTTACATACAGTGTTACACCACTTGACCAGATGTCAACTTTAAAGCCAGCAAAAGTGCTCTGTCCATTAGCAATTTCCGGAGGCTGGAAGGCTGGAGACCCTTGGCTAGTACGACATTCATCTGTCCTAGCAAACTGATCCAAAGCCTGCACACACAGTGTTGTATTTCATAAGTGAGCAACTTTCATAATCAGATCCATTTAGCTCTCTCACACACAGATCAGGTGGTGGAGGTGAGCATGTGTGTGTGTGTGTGTGTGTGTGTGTGTGTGTGAAAGACAGAGAAAGTGAGAGAAAGAAAGTGTGAGAGAGTGGGTGAGTGTGTGTGTGTGTGAAAGACAGAGAAAGTGAGAGAAAGAAAGTGTGACAGAGTGGGTGAGTGTGTGTGTGTGTGAGAGAGAGAGAGAGGCAGAGAGACAGAGAGAGAGAAAGACAGAGAGAGAGAGAGAGAGAGAGAGAGAGAGAGAGAGAGAGAGAGCAAAAAGAGAGAAGGGAGTTAATAACTTCATCTTCTTCTTCTTTTGCGATCACTATAAAAGGGTGGTGTCCACATTGCATTGTGGTTTACAGCAAAGCCGCAATGCATTCCACGTTCCGGCCCAAATATGTAATTTCAGCAAACAGTAATTATTAGCCTTTTGTGACATGCTTGCTGGGAGTGGGGGAACAGAGGTGTGTGTGTGTGTGGGGGGGGGGGCAGGGGTAAGGGACATGGGTTTATTCTACCCCCCCCCCCCCCCCCACCTCTTTCAAATGGGGCCCCCAGAACCCATACAAGGAGTTTGTCTTCAACTCACATAGAGGCAAATAAACAAAAATTATAAACAAGATAGTTCATCATTATTACAATTTTTTTTTTAGTGCTATCCTACTGGACAGTTTGGCAGCATCAAGACTGACAGCGCACAGGACAGAAGGGTGCAGACAGAAATGATTATCAACACCAATCATGGACTATAAGAAGAATCCGCAATAAATATGATTAATAACTGTAAACTGATAGGACTGCATATATACTTGAATTTGCCCTTATGAGATGTAGTCACCTCCCTGTGTGGGTTCCAGGTCCCCATTGTGGGGAAAACAAGAGCAGACCCAATGCCTCTCCAACAAGGGAGTTGAGTAACTGGGGACTTCCTTCGAAGTCAAAGTGTATCTCTCCGAGCCGCAAAGAACAATCAACTGCACACAAATAAGCTAGTAAAACATTTCCTTGACATCTCAAAGAATATCTGGTGCCCAAAAGGAATCTGGGGGTTAAGGCAGCAAAGGCGGAGGAGTGCTTGCAGAAGTCAAGTGCTCAAATCCTGTGTGAGGCAAGGGTTTCTCAAAACTGACCCAGAATCACAGACTAAAGTGGGTATCAGGAAATGTCTGAGAAGTTAACCCTTTTAACCCGGAAGAATCTAAAAAAAAAACTGCCCTTTTCAAAATTTCATTAAAAAGAAACACATTCTTATAGTTCTCTGAAACTCTATCCTAAGAAACTAGAGAAGAAGAAGAAGTAGGAACTTTGAAACTTTGACAGATTTTGTAAACATCCAGGAGGTCAAAACCCCCTAGACCACTAAGCATACAGGCAAGCAAAAAGCCAACAGTTCTCTGCCCTCAAATGACTAAATAATTCATATTATTTTTATTGAAAATTAACTTTTCAGGCAGCAAAGATTGATATGTACAGATCCCACTTTTAAAATGGGACATGCCTGCCCGCAACTCAGCCTCTGCAAATCAAGCCAACTGTTCCTACATGTGGTGCTACCTATTGTAACAGACACGGTTTAAGCATAGGAGTCTCCATCACTAACCATATGGACCCTCGATGCCAGAAGAGGTAAAATACCAGGCTATGGCTGGGGGAAGCCAGACAGAAACCCTCGGTGAACTGTGACCCCCCAACCCACCCAGGTGTGACTAATGCTCGGCCCATCACAGCCTGGACATGTCCCGATCCCCATCAAGGTCATATCTATGGAACCCACCCAGAATAATCACAGGCGGAGAAGGAAACTCCCACAACATCTGATTTCTTGCATGCAGTGTTTGCACAAACCAGGACACAGATAGGAAGACTAGATAACTTACCCCACCGAGGATGGACATGTTGGCCTGAATGGCGTGGGTGCCCAGAAATGGAAATCAATGTAAACTATGGTTAATGAGTATGCTTAAATACGTACACCACTATGGGCCTGCTTCTGTGGGCTACTGCCAGGCGGGAATAGTGGTGGATTCTGAGCATCAAAGGAATTCACCCCAAACCAAGGATGGTAGCTCTGCACACTGGATTAAGCAGAGTACCGTGTCTGGCCAAAATAATACCAAGACACAAAAGATTGTGCAGTGGAGTGCAGAAGGGTCATGAAAAAAAAGCCTGAACTTCAAAAATGCATCTACTGACAAAAGACTGATGTTGTCTGCATTCAGGAGACCCAAGAATCTAGAAACAAAGCTAAAAAGTTACATGTAACTAGAAATAAAGCTATAAGTTTTACAATGAGATAAAAATGAAAGCAAAAAGTTGAAAGGAAGGTAAAAATCCTCTTATTTAGTGTTTACCCTTAAATTACTTAACCACAATTAAACACTGTTACATTAACAATATGCGAAGACTCATCATGTACCTCTGCAACGCCCAGATCGGTGATCTTTAGTGTCTCGTCATTAGTGACCAACAGATTCCCTGGCTTAATGTCTTTGTGGACTATGCCATGGCTGTGCAGATACTCTAAGCCATCTATCAGCTGGCAGAAGTACCTAAAAAGGCAAGCAAACATGAAAACAGACTGACACGGAATGATGCAACTAGTGAGACTGTAACCAGATATCGAGTTATGCTATCTTTACCCCCCCCCCCCCCCCCCAAGCTGATGCTTCCTGGTGGGTCCAGTTACCTATAAATGTCACTTTTCCTAACTTGTCTACAGTGGCCTGTTTACGAGAAGCATAGTTAATATTATTGGCTGTTTGCAAGCCTACGCAAATGTTTAGGAGGTCAGGATACGAAAGAAGTTTCTGGGACCTCTCCACGGGTTATCCACATCCGCATGGTGGAACTTTGTGTCACCAGGTGTTTATCGCTTGTGTGATGTCCTGGTGGGGTACAACTATCTACCTACTTGTCTACAGTGGCTTGTTTATGAGAAGCATAGTTAATATTATTGGCTGTTTTCACACCTGCGCAAATGTTTAGGAGGGCAGGATATGAATACATTTACTAACAACAGCATTTTGTTTTTGAATCAAAGACAAGTTGACATCAGAGTTTCCCATAAGGCTCGGTAACAGAGGTCAAGGCACGAGTCAGATGATTCATGTTTTCTTGTTTCTGGGTTGCGGGAGATGTATTCCATTTAAAGCTTCACCCCGACTGCTTTGATAGATTACCCCTTTCATAAACCTTTATATATTTCCACTCCCATGTGGGTTCCCGGGGCCCCATTGTGGGGAAAACAAGAATAGACCCACTGCCTCCCCAAAAAGCATGTCGTAAGAGTCGACTAATTGGGGAGCTTCCTTCGAAGTCGGAGTGCATCTGCCGGAGAGGCAAGGAACCAACAGTCTGTATTCAGAGAATGAGATCTGTAAAACTGATGCACATGCAACACTCAATTTCTGGAGCAGGACTGCAGTTCAGTAGTGGACGAGCAATCAGAACTTTCTGCCACAGTGTACAGCTGGTGAACGCGAAGAAGAAGATATATTTCCAGATAATTTTTTTTTAATTTAAATGTGGATAAATATAATTTTAATGAAGTTTTCAGTGATCTGTGTAAACTTGTTTTTTCTTGTTTTTTTTTTTTTTTACATTTTTTTTTCTAAAATTCTAATGAGGTCATGGCTTGTTTTTAGTGTTCCCAGTGCAAAAAGGTTCAAGAAAGTTATTAATAAAACTGTGGCTATGTTATTTTGAAGCTGGTTGTTTTAGAAATTGTGTATTATGCCATGACGGATTGGAAAAAATTATAGGAGAAAGCATGGTACCAGGAAGGAGGGGCCGACCAACACGAAGATGGGCACATGATATAAGTGAACTTCTAGAGACAGAGGTGCTGTTAAAAAAAAAAAAAATCAAATACAAGTTGCTAAAATGTTAGAGAGAATGTTGGTCAGTTTGGAACATGGCTCTGTAGAAAATCTGTATCAGAAATGACCTACAATATATGAGACAGAAGACTGAGGACAGGCACGTAACCAATGCCACACAACACGGAGAATAAGAAGAAAAATATGCGGAGATAATTATACTTGTAGTATAAAAGGTTGACTGTAACTGACTTACACAGTGTGCTGAGAAACGCAAAGACAGGTAAGACATTGTTTCGGAAGTCCTGGGTGGTTGGTGTTCTTTGGATATTTTCTGTAGGTTGTGCCGGTGAGTTGGGAAATCACCAGCTGTACAATCTGGCAGAAAGTTCTTGTTGCTCATCCACTACTTTTTTTTTTTTAATCGTTCACCGGCTGTGAATTCCAGCGGAAGGTCCATGTTAATCGCCCACTTGGACTTTTGGCTTTCACCTGGACCTGATTTTTGCGTGTACAACTGTTTTCCTGTTCCCTGCCTCATGGGCAGCTGTACTCCGACTTCGAAGGAGTCGTCCACTACTGAACTGCAGTCCTGCTCCAGAACCTGAGTGTTGTGTGTGCATCAGTTTTACAGATCTCATTCTCTTGAATACAGACTGTTGGTTCCTTGCCTCTCCGGCAGATGCACTCCGACTTCAAAAGAAACTCCCCAATTAGTCGACTCTCACGACATGCTTTTGGGGAGGCAGTGGGTCTATTCTTGTTTTCCCCACAATGGGGCCCCAGAACCCACACGGAGGTGTTGGGAAATGAACAGACATAAATACTGACTGGTTCTGCACCGCTTGCTGGTGAAATGATGTATGACTAGTTAGATGCTGTAAGGGTCTTTTGGGAGCAAGTGAACAGTGCGTAGGCACAAAAGGATACTTACAGTCTGAGCAGAATGGTACTGAGATACAAATAACCAACAGTCTGCACAAAAATAGACCAGATCTGTAAAACAGATATACATGCAAAACACTAGTTCTAAAACAAGACTGAAGTACAGATGTGGGTGAACGCTAAGAATAAAAAAAAAGGATTAGGAATAGACTTTCCACAATCTAGGAAAGCTTAGTGCTTACCCATGAGCCTGCCATATAGGGAATCTCTTCTCAGGGACACTTTCGAGCATTTCTTGGAGCTCGCTGGCACAGTATTCCATCACCATGTACCTGAAACACAACGTCGGATAATCTCACAAACAGCATCAAATATCTCCATTCATGCAACTTAGCATGAACAAAATTAAGTCATATTTTTTTAACCCAAGAAGCTGCCTACCAGGCATTTCCGTCAGCAGTTCAATCCTGTAAATGGCGCTTACTTGGCATGGCTGCGGTGCCACGTTCCTGAGAAGCATAGTTAATGCCACAGGTTGTGTTTGCACCTGCACAGCATTTAAGAGGCCAAGATATAAATGTATCTATAATTACTACACATTTTCTGGGGGGAGGGGGGGGGAGAGGGGGGTTTGTGTGTCTTGCAAACAAAATGGCTTTTTAAAGCCATTCTGATGTCTTCATATGCCCACAGATTTAGTGTTAGAATTCAGACATGGTCACAGTATAAGCCATCCTATACAATTTGTATTAATCTTTTAGGAATATATAGTATTCCATTTAATGCTTCACTCCGCTTAGATTTATCAATTACTCCCTTAATATACAACGGTATCTTAACTAGGGAACTTAATTAATTCCTGACTGATTCATATCTCGGAAAGAGCATATCTCAAAACCCATTTTCCGATTTCATCTTACGGGAATCAATTATTCCATTCTCAGAAGAACTGCCTGGTACAATAGGGACAGTCAAAGGCTAAGTAAGAAAAGCAAACTTTAGACAATGCTTAAAGAAATCAGACACTGAGCCACAAATCTGAAGACACAGTGCTGTGTAATTCACTTCATGTTAACAGACTGTTTATTGGCACCATCAGAACTGGGGCTCTTGAATTTGTTGACAGTTTCTGTGTTAATAGTGGCTTAAAGTGAAGTCAGTGTCACGGACTAATGTGGTATGAGTGGATACCAAGCATCAGTACGCCAACACTGCAGAGGATCACGTGAATATACTGACCGGGATATGCAGAAGTGCGAGGGAATGAAAGAGTGGATTTCCTGGCTACAAAAGCGAAAACGTGTGCAAGAACACTTGGACAAGGGTATCTCCCTGAAGACCATACATGAAACAATGTTGACAGAAGACACAAGAATGGATGAAATAAGTGTGCAAGAATGTGTGAACGAGGAATCAAGTGTGGATCTGGCAAGGAGGCACATCTAAGAGAACGAGGTGTGTATAATCAGTGTGATACGGGTACAGTCAGCATCCATCTTACGCCATTGGCTGCAGGAGACGGAAGACAAAAGGGTATGCCCTGTGTGTTATGATGTCAATTCTTAAATCAGTAATCAGAAGTCAGTGTTTGTGGACTTGGTGTTATGAACACACTCCGTAATCCTGAAATATCCAGTCTGGTTCAACTGCAGATGTGTAAGGTTCCTCTGATCCATATCCTGAGTCTGTTAACTGCTGCAATAAAAGTCAAGTTTGAGTTTATCAGCGAGACAGTGACAATTTTTTTTTAAACCTTACAGGCTGCTACCTGAAAGTTTAACAATCCTGTGACTCAAGAAGTCAAATACTACATGTCGTTACAACATGGAAAATCCCAGATACTGTTTTCAACCTCCTAAGAAGTTATCTTCTTTTCCTTCTTCACGTTCACCAGCTGTAAACTCTGGTGCAAGGTTCTGGTTGTTTGTCCACTTCTGGACTGTAGTCCTATTCCAGAACCTGAGTGCTGTATGTGCATCCGTTTTATTGAGATGACTTATTTGTAGGCAGACTGTTGGTTCATTGCCTCTCCCACAGATGCACTCCGACTCTGAAGGAAGCTCCCAATCAGTCGACTCTTACTACATGCTTTTGGGGAGGCAGTGGGTCTGTTCTTGTTTTCCCTATAACAGGGCCTCGGAACCCACATGGGGAAACTAAGAAGTTATAATTAGAGCATTTGTAACAGCTAATCAAAAACTGCCCGGGTGTACCCTATTGTCCAAGTTGGTATGCCAATCATCTGAGATTACTAGTTAGTACTGTAATCACAGACAACATGTTGTTGCTTCTTTGAAAACATCTACAGCCAGGACGCAATCCTGAAGACTCAATAAACCTCCTCACCTGAAAGAAACAGACCACTATACAGGGTTATTCAAAATGACAGATACACTTTACTTCGTGTATAAATTCTTGAATATTCATTACATGTTTGACAACTGCGATCTAAAGGTAGTGATCTTCCCCTCTTTCTTGCAGGTATATTATTAATATGTAACATATATTCAAGGAAATATATATGAATGAAAGTGTGTCAATCATTTTTAATAACCCTGTATTTAGAACCATACTGGACGCAACAGACTGCAATAAATGCTGAATATAACACAAAAATTGACTAGAAAGCTCAACGAAAAGAATGGCAAAGATGCAGACCAACTCAACCAAACATTTTGACCAAAGAATTTATCAACGGAATACTAAATACAGCACAAACTGTGACTGGAAAAACTCAACGGACAAGACAAAGGAGCTAATAAAAAGCCAAGGTTAATATGAAACCAAGAAGTATGAAACAGGGAGAAAAATATGAATATGAAAGGCTATAATACAAAATTAAGTAAGCAAGAAGGTGTATGTAAAAAGAGGTTGAGAAATATGAATAAGTTAAATAAATGAGCAAGTAAATAAATAAAATTAACTAAAAATAAATAAGGCTGTGTTGAATTTGGATCCCTCCAGGATTAAGAATGCCTAAAGACTCTGCAGCCATGTGTAGAATAAATTCAAGATTGTCCATATGGTTACGAACCACAGAAAACTAAATATGTGCTACAGACATACTCTCTACATACAGCAGACAGATCCCACGTTAGGCCGGGTGGCATTCTAATGGAAGCCGAGCTGTCCATATTACTGGAATATACACATCACACCATAGACTTCCCTATGACTTTCTCATCTGAAAACCACCAACAGGGAGAATGAAAAAAAGAAAACAAGAATTTTTTAAGGGTTATTATTTTTAAAACACTGAAATATAAAAAATTATACTTACATTTTCTGTTTTTCTTCATTAAATAAAACATCAATTAAATGAATCACGTTACGATGGCGCAATCTTTTCAGTAACTTGATTTCTCTGAGGAAAATAAGAAAAACTTTAATGAAAGACACTCAAATAAAAAATGGATAAGGTGAATGAAACAAACAACATCCTCTTAGTTTACAGTAAGAACAGAAAGATGAAAGTGGGGTCATGGGGCAGTGGAAGACATTTTTCCCCCTTTAAAATAAACTAAGTAAGATTTGTAGTATATTTTCCGTAAACTCTCGGCCATGGCGTATGCGGCTAAATGCCCGTCTGCTGACTTTTTTTTTTTAAAATGACGACTCCTAGGTCGACCCCGCCTTGAATGGGTACGATTTGCAGTCCTGGGAAGTAAAGGCGGTAGGCGTGATGCTGACTACATCATCCACCTAGCGCCTATTGGTCTATAAAAATATAGGTCTAGCCCTCTATTTCCAATACGCCTAAAGGAGTGAAAAAGGGACCTTTACTTTACTTACTTATTCAGTTCCCAGTTTTTTAAACTGTCTTTACTATTTATAGCACAATGTTTTGTGTGCGGTGTAGGTCAAATAGGGGATGGGGCGTGGTCTCGAGCATGAAAAACAGGGATGTGTGACTAGTGCAGTTGCCACGGTCTTTGCAGATTAGGATACTTATTTTTGTCTCCCACAAGAAGAAAGTTCCATCACCTTTCCAAGGACTTGAACCTGTGACTCCAGTATGACTGCCCATTGTTCTAACCACTTGGCTAGCCACTCCTTGTTCGGAACTTACATGACCCTGTGATCCGGTCATCCAGTAACCAATAAGAAAAATACTGCGCAAGAATTTCTTCAAATAATAGCTTTATTGTTGTTGTTTTTTGTAAGGAAACCCACTAAGTACAATTTTAAAGTAAATTTTGTCATCTCTGTTACGCTGAACATTTTCGCAGATATAGACGCAATGAATTCTGTTAGCGAGACATCTCATAAAAATGTCTCTGCAGTGAGTCAGGAAAGTGACTTTCAGGGGAAATTGTACCAGCCAAAAGTGTCAGTTTTGTGGCTTTCCAAGATGAAAGGGTTCAGGGACTCTCACTGGGTATCAGGTTATAGTTTTAGGGTCCACTGTTGAGGGAGGAGTGGGAATAAATCTCCTCACCCCCTCCAAAAAAAATCTCACCCCTTTGAATAGACCACCCCACCCCCCTCCCCAAACCCCTCTTTCAAACAAGTGTATATTGTAAAAGGCAACTAATTAGGAGTTTGCAGCAATGAGAAGTGTTGGGATGAGAGGCACTGATATTACAGCCCTAGCTGTAAAGCACAAGACAATGTCAGAACTGCCCTTTAAAGGGTAAATGCAGAAAAAAGGATTAGATCCTACTTCCGGGCAGCAGAGATCATAAGCGATCTTCTCTTTGTGAAGCCAAACTAATGTAGATTTCCAGGATACCACATGCAAAGCTCCAGAGCAGGCCTATTTAAGTTTAATAAATTCAAATATCTGGGTATGATCATAACATCAGATGAAAGAAGTGTGTAAGAAATTAAGAGAAGAATAGGCCAGGCTAAGGCTGCATTTCACAGAATGAAAAACATCTTTTGCAACTGGTTCCTCTCTTTGGAAGTCCGAAAGAGAGTACTAAAATGTTATGTAGAACCTATACTGCTGTATTGTAGTGAATCATGGAATGAGAATGCACAAATTATAAAGAACTTGGAGGCGATGGAGATGTGGTTTTTCATATGAATGTTAAGAATCCCTTGGGCTGCAAGAGTAACTAACAAGGATTGCTTGAAAGAAGAAAAAGAAAGCAAATCAATATATACAGGTTTAAAGAAAATACAAGCATTATTCTTTGATTTTGTGATGAGGGGGTAGACTCTAAAGAATACTGTGACGACTAGGAAAATCATGTTAGAAGAAGGAGCCCGAGACAGATGATGACGGACGGCATGTGACTGTAGAATGGAGGGAACTGATCCAAAGGACAAGTGACTGAGATCTGTGGAGATGCATGAATGCCTTACGCCAGTTTGGCAGGGCATGTGTTGATGATGATGATGATGACCAAGCGGCCAAAAGTTCAAATATGAGGATCGTCACAGGTGAGAGGCCCAAACCCAGTGTAGATAAGATACAATACAATTGGCAATGATCCACAGGCCACTTCGTAGGCATCTGCGAGCCAGATTCTTGGTGATATGGTATCAGGATTTAGCACCTCGTCATCCCTGTTTCCCACTGATCATTAAATCATCCTTTTTTCCCCACAGCCACTGTACGGGGTTGGGGGGGGGGGGGGGGGGGGGCTAATACTCGCAATTCCATATGTGCTGTGATGAATTAAAAACTATAGATCCTCTCTACAAATGTAATGTCCTAAACCAGTCTTGGCCATCCTGTTGCTTTCTGAGGATGTTCAGACAACAAATGAATGAGTCATGAAATGAAGACAAAAATCCAGATATGGATAAACAACCAAGACTATGCTCAAGTTTACAGCTCATAAATGTGAAGAACTAAGAAGAAGCTTTGAAACAAGCATGTTGAAGCAAGCAACTAATCAGGGATATTTCCTTCAAAGTGGGAATGCATCTGCCTGAGAGGAAAGGAACCAACAGTCTGCTAAAAAACAAAACTAGATCTGTGACACAGATATGCATGCAAAACTCAAGTCCTGGAATAGAACCAATGTCCAGGAATGGCTGAACAACCAGAACTTTCCACAGAGTTTACAGCTTGTAAATGCTCAGAAGAAGATACTAGTCTTGGCCAATCTGTCAGTTTCTGCGCTCGAAATATGAAAGAGCTTTGCAACGCATATGCACCGTAGTCAGTATGTTGGTCCTAAGTCTCTACACTAGGGAAATAAACAGGCGGACAGATTGGCTAGTGCATATTTATGCCAACTAGGTGACATACTGATGCATAAGGCAGATGTGGTTAGGGCCGTGTAGGAGAACATGTACAATTTGGAGGATCAAATGTATCACCAGTCTGGTGAGAGTGATGCAGAGAGGAGTGATGAGAGGATCTGGCCAATACTCAACACTTAGGGGGAAAAAGCAAGACAGATGTATAATCAGAATACTACTGGTACCGTTGGTATTGGAACTCTGTGCTGGCTGCTAAAGATGGGAGCAGAAAGCTTATGGGAATGCCCCATGTGCTGTGATGTCGGTTCTTAAATCAACTAAACTCAGGTTAACTCTCCACACTAATGTCACTCCGACAGACACCAACCAATCTAAGGACATGGACAACAATCAAGACTTCAGTTAGTTGCATGTCCTCTTTAGGAAGTCACAAACTAAACCCATAATGTTTGGGTTGTTTGTGGTTTGATTGGGCAATTATATGTTCTGTAGTTTGCCACTCCATTGAATGGTATACACTGATACCATTGTCATCAATGTCTGCTACCAGAATGCCAGCAGCTAACCTTGTTCACTGATATGCCAGGATGGTGAAACTGCTTTCACTATAGAGGCCGACATTAGATTTGAATAAAACTCGGCCTTTTAAATTTCAGAGCAGTGTTTTTAACCTGGCTGGGGGGGGGGGGGGGGGGGGGGGGGGGGGGGGGGGGGGGGGGGGGGGGGATCATCAAACAATTTTGAATTTGAGTACATTTGAACTTGTAGTAATCTGTTATATTAACATTGATTTTTCAGTTTAATTATAAATGGCAATTTAAGTTTTTTTTTTTTTTTAAACAGGAAAAAAGAAAACGGGGCTGCCAGCTTGCTGTCTAGTGATGTCCGTCGTGGCTTGTCCAATATCAGACAAAAAATAAATAATAAAATTCAAGACAAAAGTGTCAACCATCACACTGATATTTTAACACTAAATTATCAGCTGGTGGTGGCAGTATAGTTGCCGGAAAGAGGTCTGCAATTTAAATATGACTGAGGCCCTGTTAGGGTATATTATATTTCCAGCCTCAATAATTTGGGACCGTTATTCTGAGGATAGCCAAAAGTTGGGTGGGTGAGGTGTGTAGGGGTTTAGCCATATATCTAGGAACATGCCCCAACGTTAAAAACTACTCGTTTAGAGAGGGGAAAATCAACAACCAATATTTCAAATATTTGAATTAACAGCCAAATAAACTAACCGCTGAACATTCTGCTCTCCGTTTGGGATCCGCCTCAATTTTCTTTTCTTCAAAATTTTCACCGCTCTACGACACAGCGTTTCAATGTCTAGAAGTTCCTTCACTTTGCCATAGGATCCCTCCCCTAAAACACTGCCCATCAAATACTTCCCACCAATAATCTTCACTTTATGGCACTGTGGTTGGTAAACAATCTGATCAGACTCTACCCGGCGAATAAACAAGTCCCCGTCATCATCTAGGAGATCGAAAATATTCTCGGGGGCAATCATAGGTGCATCTAGATCATCCTGACAAAGGATAGAGCTGTCAACGAATTCCTCCTGATCCATTGTGCACCGAAGTTTGGTTTTGTTGTCTAGTTATAAAACTGGCAGTCATAGCAAATTGAATGTTTTCATCCTGCCCAAACAGGAAGTGCAGCCATTTTAGTTTTGAACGAAAACGAGGTAAGTGTGAATAGTTTAAAAGTGAGACGGGGACAAGTTGTAGAATACGAAATAACACCCACCCACAGTCACAATGGACAGTTGAGCTACGAACTGACATCACAGCAGTTGGTACATTCTCATAAGCGCGGCGTCCTCATGTTTAGCAGCCAGAGTTCTAATTCCGATGGTGCCAGTAGCAATTAGATTATTTGTCCCTCTTGCCTTTCACTTGAGTGTAGAATGACTACCGTGACTTCTTTTTATCATTATTATAATTATTGTTCTTTTTTGTGTGTGTCTTCTTCTTTTCGTGTTCTCATCCTCCTTGTTTCTTTCTTTCTTTCTTCTTCTTCTTCCACTTCCTCCGCTTCTTCTTCTCACAGTTACCTCATTGGGAGAGGGGGGGAGGGGAGTGAGAATGTTAGAATCTAAGAATAACAATCGGTTGATTTGTTGTAGTTATAATAAGTTATAAGTTGGATTATCTCCATGGCACTCCGGTCACGTCTGTAGGTGATCAGATTTTCATCTCAGCATATACATCAGCGTTACGAGTTTGAGTGTGCCAGTCGTATGTTGACTGACAAGACTTCTTTTATGTCTGGTGTGACTCTCGTGCTTAGTTTGTGCCGATCTTTACTTTCAGTTTTTGCACTTTTAGCATTGATGTGGACGCGCAGTCCCAACATTTTCTGACTGTCCTCTCTCTCTCTCTCTCTCTCTCTCTCTCTCTCTCTCTCTCTCTCTCTCTCTCTCTGAGCGTATTAACTATATCGTGTTGGCAATATCCTGAGGCTGGCCATCAGCAATCGTGTTAGCACCAGCCATTCTATCAGTTATTTCACCGCCAACAGCACATAAATATCCTGGTACAAAGATACAGGTAACTCTAAGCATAGTGCACCTATTCAGTGTCTTCATCGACTGTCTGTGTGTGTACCAAGCTGCTTTGACATGCCGGACTTTGCCTACAGAATCACCATGTGTGGCCGTGGCTATAATGCTTTACGACGATGAGGTGGCTATCTCCAAGCCCAGCCATGCTCTGATTCCCCACCCACGACACAACCACAGATGCAGTGTCGCATTACTCTCACGCATTTCTACACTGATATATATGCAGATGTCTGCTTTATAAATATTACTTTCTGTAGTTTATGTCACCGCCCCCCCCCCCCTTTTTTTTTTGCACCAGTTGTACTTTCTAGATAACTCTTATGAGTTTCTGCATATTATACAACCTAGCAAGGGGTGACAGGCCAGATAAAACGCTGGGCTCTCTTGCAAGAAACCCAGGCTTGAATCCTCCATAAGATGGTAGGAGTTGGTAATTCTTTTTTTTTTAATGGGAACAGTTCGTGGCGATAGCACAAGTCACGCGGCCTAAGTCATTAAAGCCCCCCCCCCCCCACCTTTTTTAACCGCCCTCCCCCCGGTAATACGCAGCGGCAGTTAGTACAAGGCACCTTTTTCTATATAATTTTTCAGCGTTACTGTAATAGACACTTTGTGACAAGCACGGGCACTTTTCTAGGCACTTTGGGCGAGGATAGGAGTGTCCAAGCTAGAATCAGACGTGTGTAGGGTTTTAATCACACTGGGCTGTAAATGCAGGAAGTGGCTAGAGGACGCAGCAGTGTCAGAAGGTTTGACAAATGATTCATGACAATTCTCGCCGAGAGGGTGTGATAACCTATACAGATGGTTCTGTGTTAAGAGGCAGACGAAGTTTGTGGGGGTTCTTGGCAAAAGCTAATGGACGTCACTTAGTGCAACAAAGCCTGACACATGACACTATAACATCTAGTTTGAGAATGGAGGTGGAGGCAGTCACTGCAGCCTTCCGCTGACTTGAGAATAAGATGTTCACACATGTTGTACACACATGTTGTACACACATGTCGTAATTGTAACCGACTCACGGAGCATGTTGAAAAAGGTGGAGACTAGTTTGCTCTGTGAAGAGTGTCAAACATTGCTTCAGATGTCGCGGATAATTAGCACACTTTAGATATTTTCTCCAGAAATGCCGGTGTATTGGGAAATGAACAAGAGGCAGACTAGCTATTCCTGCACAACTTGATAGATGCATGACAAATAAATGTTGTAGGGACCCTTGAGGGGAGGGGCGAGTGAACAGTACGGAGGTACAGATGGATCATCATGGTCTGAGTATAAAATTGCTGCGAGGACTGACCAGAGGATGTAGCCGGCGATGAACTCTCAGGTAAAAGGCAAGTCGGATATACAGTCAGACCGTTATTGGTATCATCGGAACTGGAACTTTGCGCTTGCAGCTGAAGATGGGAACGGAGCGCTTATGGGAATATTACGAGTGCGGCGATGTCGATTCTTAATTAAACATAAAATATTTAGACACTTTATGGTGAAAACAAAAGTGTCGGGTATATTTATTTCATAACCTGTTTCATTTACTGTGTGTGTCCACTTGCAATGTATTCCCCTTCCCCGGTTGTTATTTTGGTGACAATGCAGGCGCAGTGCATCTACTATTTAGCATCTACTGTTTAATTTAGTTAGTTGCCCCCCCCCCCCCCCCCCCGCTCAATCGATAGGAGACTCGCTTTGAAATCCAGCTGCGACTCGCTTCAGCCCACACCCAGTGTTCGAAACCGTACGGTTCCGGGGTTCACCCAGCCTGTAGGACGAAGTTGATGGGTACCAGTGTTAATAATCTGGTGTAAATGGAGGACCGTCGCTGTAGCTACTGAGTTGCGAAATAGGCGGACAGTTTCTTATCAGCTGTCCATGCTGGTGGCAGAGAATTTATGGTTTATAACCGCGTGCAATGACGCTGGTTCACATCTCCCGACTTAACCTTTACTTTTTTGTACCGGGAAGAGATTCTGAGATTCTGTGACAGGCTTCACAGTGAGCTACGTTATTTTTATATTTGTGTAATTGTATCATCGTCCTTTTTTGTATGCCGATGAAGGTTTCGTAGCCGCAACGTTCATTTTCTTTTTAATGATTGTGGTATTGTAAAGCTAACTTCCTTTCTTCAGTTTGCACTTTTAACTCAGTGTATCTGAGAGGTTAGCTATTTCAGCTTTCTTAGGCTCTCTGTGTATAACTTCAGGAAGGTGATAACTAAATGGACGTAATCATATTCTTTTCTGTGTTGTTCACCGGATGTAAAACTCTGGTTTTTCTCCGCTTCTCAACTTTAGTCTTGTTCCAGCATATTTTGCGCGACATCCTGTTGTGAACCTCTTCTGTGTATGCGGACTATTGGTTCCCAGCCTATGCATGGTCTCCTGCATAACAGTCCAGCGCTATTACCCGTTCTGCCAGCCTCCCCCCTCCCTCTCTCTCTCTCTCTCTCTCTCTCTCTCTCTCTCTCTCTCTCTCTCTCTCTCTCTCTCTCTCTCTCGTTCTCGCAACTTCGACAGATGATATAGAGTATATTTCCGTCTAATCCTGCGCAGCGTCCAACTAAAGATATCTGCACACCCACACACATGTACACGTATACGCGCGCGCTCACACACATGTTACTTACAAACACGCATGCCCACCTCACCATAGAGTCTTTCTAGTTTGAGTAGTTTCTCACTTGATTACCCGCTATCAGGTTTAAGTGAGCGCACGCCAGCATTGCATACCACAGTTAATTAGCAGCAGCGGGCAGGTCTGCCTGCACAGTCAGAAGCCATGAAGTGTATGTGAGCCCAACACTTTAACGCCAGTTGGGTTGTCAATGCAGTGTATTCACAAATTCAATTCCGAAGACGTTTTGAACACAACAGCATAGTTTGTAATTATGATTTAATTCAGTAAGTTGAAGGCATAGCCACCTCATGGATATTGCAAAGCAACCAACTGTAATTACTGCTTGGGTGTGACTTTACAAGCAATTTTTACATTCAGTAGACTGCAAATTGCATTTAGTTTAGTGCCATTTTGGTGCTTTATTAATATCCTACCCCAAACAGGGGAAATCCACAGGTCACGGGGCAGTATAATATTTGAGGGTGTGCTAGATAGGCTGCATGCAGTCGTGGGACCTAGGCTGCATGCATTCGTGAGATCTAGGCTGCCCTCTCTCGTGGGACGTAGGTGGGTTGGGGTAAGGGCCAGTTCTAGATGTTTTGGGGTCGTTAAAAGCATCAGAAAGCCGGTAAACCCAGTCTTATTACCCTCTAAAATGTTGAACTGTCCCATGACGTCATCTTGGGGGAGGGGGAGGGTATTAATCAATTAAGAACCCCATTTTTCGACATTCATTTTGTCCTGTTGTGCCATTAAAGGTCATGTAGGGCTCGCCGCCTGTTTCTCCAATCACTTCTACTCTGTGCAATCCTTTTAATATGAATGGAATCAAGTCCAGCATCTTTGGCCCTCCCTCATCAACGTTCATTTCAGGGTTTCTTTTGGAGTCCTCGCTTCTTCGGTCTCTTAACTTCCCAATTTAAAGCCTCTTTGGTGATTCTGTGCTAATTTTTTCTCATACAGCGCCATTTTCCTTGTCTTATAACTGTTGTTACTTCCGGTTGCCCAGACAGTTCTCTTATTTCTTCACCCCTGCCGATTTTATTCCATTTTAATTCTTGAACTCATCCCTATTTAGATATGGCGAGGCCACGCCATAACACGGCGGCTAACAAACGGAAGACATAACTGCAATAATCAGTCACAAGTGTATTACTTTAAGGAGCAGCTGGCCGAACAGTTAGAACGCTGGGCTCTCGTGCGAGACACGAGGGGCAAAAATAAATCCTCACCTGCACAGTCTGTGGCGACAGAACTAGCCATGCGGCCGAGAACCCTCAGCTCCAAGCCTCCCCCTCCCCGCTTACACCGCAAAAGTGGTATAATAAAGTCAGTAATTGGCAGTTGGTAGTGTATTACTTGTGAACACGCGACAACATTTACATTAA